CGACACACCTTGTGTGTAGTTTTTAGCCAAGACTCCAGAGAACTCCTACGCCATTTTCTAGAACTTTTTCCGCATAACTCTCCTCTCCATTGCTCTGCCTCATGAGTTCTTACCACTCCAGTCTCCACGGACTCGGATACCTGCCTCTCAAGTTGAGTATGTGGGGGCTGCTTGGCTTCCTCTCCCCCATAGGCCGGGAATTGCTTCCTTGAAGAAGTCCAGGCTGATGATAGCTAGTGTTCACTTGGTTTGTTCCCCTCTGCTCAGGGATTAGTCCTGGAAATGCTATTTCCTACAAGCTTTTCTCACTGCTGATACCAAGGGCTCCTCTGGATTCTGTTCCTTCTTCATAGCCAAGGTGGGAATTACTGTTTGGATGCCCACCTTCCACTCTCCTAGCCGTATTTCCCAGTTACTCCGAGCCTGATCTTCCCTGACAGTGTTTCTTGTGTCCTTCATTTCTCATGGATACTCGTATTAATCAACTAGGTTGCGTTTCCTGATTGATTATTAGTGAGAATAAGTTTTCCTTTATATTTTTGAGTGTAAACCCCCATGCTCAGACCCTTTAGTAATGGTGTCTTGGTCTTCATTTCACTTCGTCTGCTCCGGGATGTATTTAAAGTATGAAACCACATCAGCTATAGTGTGTTTATTGTGTTCCCTGCTAGTTGGACTTCACTATACTTCAATGCTTTGTTTTTCCTAGGAGTTTCCTATGTTCCCTTTGATTGGCTGCACTTCTTTTTAATTCCCTTCCTGTGCTAGCTGGTTTTATATCAACTTGACCCAAACTGTAGTTATTTTGGGAGAGGGAACCTCAATTGAGAAAAATGACCCCACTAAATTCGTCTGTGTACAAGCCTGTGATGCATTTTCCTGATTGATGTTTGATGTGGGAGGAGCTAGCTCAGTGTGAGAGGTGTCACTCCTGGGCTGGTGGTCCTGGGTGCTGTAGGAAAGCAGGCTGAACAAGGAATGATAGCTCCGTAAGTAGCACTCCTCCATGCCCTATGCTTCAGTTCCTGCCTCCAGGCTCCTGCCCCTGCCTGATTTCCTTTGATGATGTGATGGACTGTGATGTGGAACTGCAAGTGAAATAAACCTTTCCTCCCCAAGTTGCTTTTGGTCAAGGTCTTTTGTCACAGCAGTAGAACCACTAACCAAAACATTTTCTCTATGCATTGTATTCCTAGCTTAGGGGTCTGTGGTGTGTGTGTGTGTGTGTGTGTGTGTGTGTGTGTGTGTGTGTGTGTGTTTAGTTTTAAATTGTCTATGTGGCTGCAGACTTGAAAAAACCCAGTCAATATTTCTACCCTCAACACAAGTTGAACCTTTCAACTCTGAACTATTAAGCCTGAATGATTAGGGTTCAGCCCTCTATCGACTGTTTGATTATTCATCTTGTTTTTGTAAATCCCAAATTAGGTATTTTCATGCTTATTATCATAATATATGTCATTTGTTTGTGTTCTGTTCAACAATAAGTTTCGGATATCACCCTTTCCTTCCAGATTTACCTCCTTTCTTTAATTTTTCTCTCTGTGGGATCTCATGTGTCTTTCGGTCTTCATCCCTTTGAATACCTCTATATTTCTCCCTTACATTTTTGTCACAGCTTACACTTGGCAATTATTTTCGATTGCAAAAACTAGTTCTGGGCTGGCAATTTTTTTCTTGGTATTTTAAAGACATGATCCATTATACTCTGGCCTCAACACTGCTATGGTGGTTTGCTGCCCAAACCATTGTGGTTTCTTTGCCTTCTAAGGTTTCTCTGACTTTGGAATTTGACATTTTTCACCATGATGTGCCTAATTAGTGCATATTTTTATTTATCATGCCAAAGCATTGTGCTTTTTAAAATATATCAAGTCAAACTTACCTTCGAGGCTGAACAGATTTACTTACTGCATAGGGGTTTCCCTGTTCTTCCCATCCCACACTATTGAATATTTACTGATGGTTTGTCCCAAACTATTGAGTATTTACTGATGGTTTACCCCAAACTATTGAGCATTTACTGATGGTTTACCCCAAACTATTGAGCATTTACTGATGGTTTACCCCAAACTATTGAGCATTTACTGATGGTTTACCCCACACTATTGAGCATTTCCTGATGGTTTATCACTTTAGCCTGTATTTTTCATCTTCTCATATTTCTGTCTTTTGTCACTCACTGTATTCTACTTTGAGTTGAGCTTTTGGTCCTTTTATTAAAGTCTCTTGAAGCTTCTGGTTCATTTATTCTCTTCCCTCTATTTCTAACACATTCCCACAGAATTTTTTCTTTCAAAGTCTGCATTTTAAATTTCTATTTGGCTCTATTTCAATCCTACATATTCTGGGGAGAGTCGAATGAGGTAAATGGGGGTAGATATGATCTTATTTCATTGTACATGGGTATGAAATTCTCAAGAATAAAGAGAACATTTTAAATCTTGCATGTTCTGATTAATTATGCTGTCTTTACATCATAAAATTTATGTCATACTTTAAAGATCTCAGTTCTTCCTATACAATCATGTTCTTCCAGGTTATCTTCTACAGTATCCGTTCCTGGTGCTTAATCTTCCTGTTAGCTGTGTCTGCCAGTTCTCACTTGTGGTAGAACATTTCCACTTGTATTTTGCTCTTGTTTACTGTGAGCCCATCCTGACTGGGCTATTTCTCTACTCTAAAAGCCAATGGCAGATCATACCATGGGAGCATCTCTCCAAAGAAAATTAACAGCTATGTCTATCAGCAATCCCTAGGGTTTCAGTAAACAGAAAGCTCCTTTTATATTAATATAAATTGACTACCTTAAAATTTCCAGACAACAGAGTTATTATACATTTGAACTTCAGACCATGCAATATGGTGTCTCAGGGTTTCTGTTTCCCAAAGAATATTTTCCTTTATCACTCAGAGCATGGGCATAGGCAAACAACCCTCTTCATGGCTGCCTTGTGCTCAAAGGTTCCTCCTGTCTCCCATAACCCTTCTTCACTGAGTATGTGAATTTGCTGGTCTTGTCTTCACATAGATCCTAGTTCCAAAACCCTGCTCTATATGGATGTGAGGTTGCCAAGACAACCTCTCCTCAACTCCACCCCATTTAGAGAATCCAAAACTCCGAATTATTCCCCCCTGGGTCCTAGTTTCCTCTTTCATTTTCTCCCCATTTCTTTCTTGAAAAAATAAACAAGAAATAAAGAAACAAAATGGGTTTAGTTTGAGGCAATAACTGTTTCTAGATTATCCTGGAAGGAAGAGCCCCACATTCCCCAATCCATATATCTCAACTCTACTTTCTTAATGAACCATGTACATAATTAGACAAGAGCAGAGAATGTCCCTTTATTTCAATTGGACCACTTCTATCTTTGTGTGTACCAAACTTTGTTCTCTTCATTGACTTGGATTTAACTTTTTTTTAATACAAACTGTTTTGGCTGTGGGAATTAAAAACAAAGTTTTAAACACACACAGATGGGGTGATCATTCCAAGGACACAGGGAGGAGATCGACTCACAAGTGGCCTGTGATCAGCCACTGAGTCCATTGCAGAGGCAGGAAGGACCCTGGGAAGCAGGAGCGTTCACTGTAGCTCACATATTCAGGGAAGGTGCCCAGAAGTGAAAGAACAAAACAAGAAGAAAAGAGGCAGCAGGCAAAGACACTCCCCAAAGAAACGAAATCCACTAACAAGATCTGCTGCGGTGTGCTTTTTCCAGGTCTACACCGGCTGGACTGGAGCACTCAACCCTGTCCTTTGCAGTCTGTCTTCAGGCTCTAATTGAACCCCAGATTGCATCCAGGTCAAGAAATCTTTGAGTTCTCTCAGGGAGAGGTTTTTCTTCACTCTCTTGGGGTCACCTAGACAAGGTGTGTATGTGAGGACGACTTAATGGTAGCCCTGGTTTCTGTTTCAGAACCACTCTTCTTCCCCTCACCGAGAAGTGCTTCAGTATTGGACAGGCTTCCAGCATCTGTGTCTTGTAGTCGTTTCCTCTGAACTGAAACATTCCCTCTTGGAGACAAAGGCAGAAAGGAAACGATTGAGTCCCCAAATGGACTGCAGAGCTGACAGGTGTCCAGCAAGGCTCTTGCCAGTGGTTGGGCTTCGTCTCTCTGTTCATTCGACACTATTCTCCTTCAGATTGGCTTTTCCTGCTCTAGAGGCACACGGCTTAAGATGGCTGCCACACAAGTCACCTGTTCCATTTCACCCCATCCCAGGGACCAGCTTAGCTGAAAAAAAATTACCTCTTGGTCTCCTATCTCAACTCCTGCAGGAGATGATCTGATTGGCTCTCTGGGTCACATGTCTGTAGTAGTGGTTCTCTCATCTACGAATAAGGGAAGCAGGACCACACAATACGAACACAGTTCCTAGGTCACGCTCATATCAGGCAGTGATCAAAAACCAAGGAGACTGCGGGTTGAGAAGTACCTGTCTACATAGCTACAACATTCCTAAGCAGGAGTGTTAGGCAGGATTTCACTTCTTACAGGATGATTTGAAGGAGAGCAACAGTGAAGAGAGGAGTTTGGAAGGCTGTTGTGTGGCTTTTCCTGGGGCAACCTGAACATGTTTGCGACCCGAGATAGCGCATCAATGACAGGCAAAGAAGCAGTTCCACTCATGTGGAGCTTGCTGAACCAGTGAGTTTATTGAGGTTACTTACAAGAGTATGAGCTCGTGAAAGCCACATGCCTGGAGCTCCCTGCACAACCTGAAGGCAGAGTCCCTTCTCTCAAGCAATTCACTGCTTATGTAACATGAAGGCAAGACCAGGTAAATATTGTGCTTTCCTGAGCCTCCTAAGCCTAGAAAAGTTACATGGGCTTCCCTCCAGCCTCCAGGAGGGAATGTTTCAGTTCAGAGGAAACGACTACAAGACACAGATGCTGGGAACCTGTCCAATACTGAAGCACTTCTCGGTGAGGGGAAGAAGAGTGGTTCTGAAACAGAAACCAGGGCTACCATTAAATCGTCCTCACATACACACCTTGTCTAGGTGACCCCAAGAGAGTGAAGAAAAACCTCTCCCTGAGAGGACTCAAAGATTTCTTGACCTGGATGTAATCTGGGGTTTAATTAGAGCCTGAAGACAGACTGCAAAGGACAGGGTTGAGTGCTCCAGTCCAGTGGGTGTAGACCTGGAAAAAGCACACCGCAGCAGACCTGGTTAGTGGATTTCGTTTCTTTGGGGAGTGTCTTTGCCTGCTGCCTCTTTTCTTCTTGTTTTGTTCTTTCACTTCTGGGCACCTTCCCTGAATATGTGAGCTACAGTGAACGCTCCTGCTTCCCGGGGTCCTTCCTGCCTCTGCAATGGACTCAGTGGCTGATCACAGGCCACTTGTGAGTCGATCTCCAGCTTTGATGTCATACTTGAGCTGTGCATCCCGTTTTACCCGTGAAAGCAGACGTTCAGGAGGGTGAAACACGTTCTAACCTTATTTACAGCACAGCAGAGAAACCCTTCTATCATAGGTGTTGAAGGAATGTTTACACCGACTACCTGGGAACATGTTTATGACCTTCAGCAAATCACTTTGTGACATTTAATTTATCTAATTGCAAACCAGACTGAGTAACACTGATTCCCTCATTCACTTACTCTCTCTTTCCAGAGCTACTTCGTGGGTCCTGACTCTGTGTCGAGGTGAGTTGATGGAACAAGAGCTGGTTAAAGGGGTTGGGAGAGGCACCAAGTAAGATAATAGACAGGAAAAAAAATCACAAAGGCTGCAAGCATTTCCAAAGAAAAGGTGTTTACTTAAACATTCATATTTAGACATTGGAACAGTAAGTAAATTATTTCATAAGCTCCCTCCTGGGTTTCCAGAGCACTCTGAGCTCACAGAACCTATATTACAGCACTTACCACATTGTATTACAGTTATTTGTGTATGTTGCCATCTCTGCCCCAGACTGTGAGTTTCAACACTAAACCCCTAGCACTTAGCCAGTGCCTGCCAATAATAAGCCTCAGTAAATATTTTAAATAAATTAATGAATGAAATAAAGCCAGCATCCAAGTGTTCTCAGCCTACAAAAAAAAAAAAAAAGAATGAGTTCAGACAATAAGCACACTGATGAAAATTCTGTCCTAAGAATCATGTGGAGAAAGTTATAAATGAAAAAAAAGATATAGATTTTTCCCTAAAGGAGCTTATGAACGGAATGGAGAGACAGAGTACACGAATATGAAAATGCCTTAAGACGATTTATCAAATTACCTCAAAGCAGTCGCGTTTTCCAACTGGAACACAGACGTTGATGGACTTCAGAAGAGCCATGGGGCAGGAGCAGTTCATCAGGAGGAAGCTGTTTGGAGAATCGAAATTATTATGGGAGGCTCTGGGAAATAAACAAAATTCACAGAAGTAGTAGCAGCTCTGAAGATGGGGAGGGAGAGCAGGCTACTGGCAATCCGCAAGGGTATTTGGAAGCCTGGAGCACTATGGCACTTAAAACAGATGATCTGTTCCTGTGCTGGATAATCACACACACACACACACACACACACACACACACACACACACACACACACACACACATACACACACACCATCTCTGTGAACAGAGGTTAGGGTGATGGGCTTGAAGTGCTTCTCCTCCTCTGGAGAGAAATTCTCTCTCCTCGAGTGCTTCTTGCTGTGCCGTCCGTCATGTTGACCCTTTGAAGGGAGCAGATCTGCAGTTCTCAAGAATACCCTTCCAGGACGGGGCCTGCTCTAAAAGTGTCCCCATTTCCAGGATGCCACATAAAACTCACTCAGTCACAATCCTTTGTTCTAGTCCCTTTGATCATCTTAGAAATAGGCCTTTGGAGTAGGGCGACAGAGGGCAGAGCCAAGGTGGCAACAGCTTGTCAGTGTTAAGCTGGGAGTTACAAAGCACGGCTGCCTGCTTTGTGAGGTGAATATGTGGTGGGGAGGTGAAGAGATTCTCTGCCTGGACACCAAACCACCTTCCTTAAATAACACTGACAAATATGGCCTCCAAGTTCACTCACAGTAGGAATTCTGTGTGCCCTGATTCAATATTTACATCCCGCTGTGATGTGCTGGTGGTTATTCTGGGTGCTGGGAATGAGTTTAGCCACTGCATTGAGATTGTGCTCAAATGAGAAAAACATACAACCAGTGAGTTTATTTGGTACAAAATAATGTATAGATAGCATTCGGAAAATAAACAAAGATACCATGGATGATGTTTGAGCTGCTTGTCTGTTGCTGTGATAAAACTCTGCGGCCAAAAGCAACTTACAGAAGGAAGAGTTGGTTTCAGCTTATGGTCCCATGACTGGGAGGCACATGAGCAATAAGACATGATGACTGGGGCAGCAAGCTGAGAGCTCACTTCACCAGTGTCCAGCAGGAAGCCGCGAGAGATGACTGGAAATGGCACGGTTCTTTAAAGTCTCAAAGTCTGCCGCCAGCAACTTCCTCAAATAAAAGCCACACCTCCTAAGCGTTCCCAAACCATGCCACCAACTGAGGACCAAGGGCTCAAATACACAAGTCTATGGGGGACGGTCTCATTCAAACCATCACAAATGAGCTCAGCATAGGACTCCGTAAAGTTGAAATACTTAAGATGAAAGTTGAAAAATAATAAGGAATCGGTCATGTCAGACCCTTTGGAGTATTATTACAGGCACAGATCTATGATACAAAGGTACTAAGGTACAGACAGGGTTGGAGCTTCAAAGCTGTATACATGTGCTTGCACATACACACATGCCACACATGCATATACACACAAATGCACACATAATGGTGTTCGCATAGGGAGTGAGACAATATAGGGAGAAGGAAGAGAGGAGACGGAAGAACAATTTTAGGTCAGATCATAATGCAGTGACCTATAGAAACGCATTATTCCCAAGGACAATGGTATGCCGCTAACTATCTGAAGCAGAGGGAATGATGTGACCTCCCCACCCACAATGCACACACAGCCTCTGAGAATAGCTTCATAGAAAGCTGGTCTCAACATGCGCAATAGACGCTGTGCAGAGTCCTACAGGCAGTGAACTCCTTATGTAACTCTGGATCCCTCACCTCTCCTGAAACATGAAACCGCCCCGTGTGTAGAGATAGGTCATTATCTTTGAATGCTGTTTTAAGATGTATGCAATGGGAGGGAGGTGGCTCAGTGAGTAGGGTGCTTGTCGTGCAGATACGAGGACCTGAGTTTGGTCCCCAGCACCCATGCTTTTAAACAAACAACAATTAAAAAAAAGCAAAATAACAAAATCTCTGAGTTTAGAGATCTACAACTAAACCCAGTGCTGGGAAAGCAGAGACAAGAAGATCCCTGGGCTTCTCTGCACAGACAGTCTAGACAAACTGACCAGGTGTAGGTTCAGTCAGAGACTCCACCTCAACACCTAAGATAAAGAACAATTGAGGAACACACACACACACACACACACACACACACACACACACACACACACACACACACACACACAGATACATCAGAATACAGATCTAAGACAGTTAAGACTAACTCTTTGTGTGAGATTCCTCAAAAGTTCACATTGATGAGTGGACAGAAGATTGGTTAAAATTCTATCCAACAAGGATCCCCAGAAATCACTGAAGCCATCTCAGCATTATTTCCAGCACATGGGCACTTCTTTCATGTGGATATAATTCACAAAAGAATCATGTTTTGTTGATTTTTTCCCTAGCTCATACCTTTTACCTTATACCTCAGCTCTCCTCCCTGCTACAAATGGGGAGAAAGGAGAGAGAGAGAGAGAGAGAGAGAGAGAGAGAGAGAGAGAGAGAGAGAGAGAGGATGAGAGAGAGAGAGATCTAGAAAGAATCTTGGAGAATGTCAGCTTCATCTATTCATACATCCATGTCTCTGGGCTCGCAAGTTTTTTTTCCAGTGTCCTTGGTAGCCTGATGAGGGACAAAGACTGGGGAAATGTAGACCGGTGATGGGGTTCAGAAGAAACACCCACATCAAAGGAACACCCAGTGAAATTTTCCCGCCACCAAGAGTCTGGAAACCTTAAGTGGAACGATGGTAAATCCTTGGAAATCTCTTCAATCTCCAGAGTCTGTCATTCAGAACCTCTGAAATGATGGTGGGGCAGGCAGGGGTCAGGGGTGAAAATATCACCAGTGTTTTCATATCTGTAGGAGGTTTCAGGTGAAATATGAGGTGGGAAGCAGAGAGAGAGGTGACAACCAATGCTTGTTCTTCGTTCGTTGGTGTCAGGTGACTCACCTTGGGGCCAGAGAGAGAGGTGCAGGGCATGGGTGGGCCAGGTCTCTTTGAGGGGTGAAGGGGATGGCCCCTTGTAATCCAATATTCTCTTGGCGCCACTCAGCACTCAAGCCCAAATCCATCACTGCAAATGACCCAGGTGACAGGATTAAATATCCCCTAATTGCAGTCCCCTGGGAGGGGCTGTGCCAGCTGTCTCTTTCACATGCCTAGCCCAGCAGATGGGAGATCCGATATCAAAGGGTCACTTCTGAGGGGACTGGAGGCAGCCTGGGTTCTGACCGCCTGGGCTGAGTAGAAGGAAGGACTGAGGGACAACCCAGGGTGTGATAATGGGTCTGAGAACAGATTATTGAGTACTCCCTACCTCCTTTGTTTTTACCATAAGGTCTGTCTAAAGCCCTTGGGGGTGATTTATTCATCCTTCCTATTTCCAGGAATAGGGTCTGGCTCCTGTGCCTTTTCCTCCCATCCTCTGAAACGTGTTACTAGCAATGGAATTGTATCCCACAAAGCTCGAAATGCTTAAGGGTACCCAGGGATCCTCAGCCTCCAGCCCCTTGCCAATGTGTAAGTCTGAACTCTAAGGCTGGGTTTTTCCTTTGTCCGGTGTGCTTAGCAAAGAAAGTCCACAGGCTTCCTTGGCTGTGGATTCCAGCATGGCAGGCTTACTCAGAGGGCGGGTTTTCCAAAGCCACTGCGGGGACCGAAGAAGATGGAATGTGATTGACATTTCAGCTCATGCCAAGCTCCCAGCCAAAATAGGCTGCCTGAGGGTTCTCGCTTGACTAGGCTGAGAAGACCTGTGACAGGGGAGGAGCAGGTAACTTCCCGTGAGCTCTTGGCCCTTTGAAATCTTTGCCATCTTGCTTTAACACCATTCTCACCAAAAATTAGCTTCCACCACAGGGCTCTAGGCAGTTCTGTGGGGGAGAAGATACATTTCCATTCCACTGAAATCAAAATATTGCCAAATCAGCAGCAGCAACTATACTCCAGGAATAGCTCCCTGGTACAGAGGCGAGACCACAGGCAAAATAAAAGTTTACTTGCGGGACTCAGTGAGACTCGGACAAAAGGTATTTTTTTAAAAGGCATCAAAAGAGACCCTCAAGGACCACGATGAGAGGTCTGCAAAAGGCTCAAGTGATGTCAGAAAGTGCAATAAGAAACAGTGAGATTGCAATGGAGACGTGCTGCTTTACCCTCACGGATCCTGCACCTGCTGGCTGTGTGGGGTTGTCCTGGGATTGCTTTGAGGCTGAACTTCATGGTTCACAGGGCAGAAGTTGTGACATCTTCCCTGGGTCTCACAGGGTTTCCAAGAGCTAGTTCACACCAGATGACAGAGAGCAAACTGCTCTGAAGAGCCCTTGTGCAGGCCTATAAATTCAAGCAGTACTTGGAGGGTTGCTTTGGTGCTGAGAACAATATGACTAAGTTGCCAGGGAGCTGACTCGGACCTCCTTCACTTTCTTCCTGGGCTTTCTCTCCCTCATCTGAGCTCTAAACATAGATTTTAGGCCAAAGAGAACCACTGCATGCTTGATAATACAGGGGCAGTGGCATTTCTGGGTGATCCTTTGGGTCTATAGACAGGAGGCCTGCAGTCCACATGTCAAACAAAGCAGCTATTTGAGGGCAAGTCTATCACAGAACAGAAGATGGATGATGAAGGACCGGGCCTGTTTTGCAGCCCATGATGAACTTGTAAGAGTTAAACTCAATTTCTCATTGTGCCCCAATTTTAGGGAAGCTAAAAGCCAGAAATCTTACCCTGAAATGGATAGGTAACTGGAGAAGGTTGGTTCTTGGGGGTCATGGTATCTTCTGGCTAATGATAAATTACCACATAGGCCAGGGAGCCTGTATGTTAGAATTATCTGAGGAAATTTTCAAAGTAACAGACACTCAGCTTCCACCATACGTTATTCTGATGTTGAAGGGCCTGAAGAGGTAGGGCCTGGGGAGAGATTCAGATGTATTAGAAAGCTGGAGATTTTCAGAATCAGAGACACTACCTTGTCTACTTTGATAGACATCCAAGATGGAGCACTGTGACTAGCATAGAGGAA